TTAGTCCAATTCCTGAAAAACTTAGCCCTGTTTATATCTGAACAGGGATTTGTGAGAAGCCAAAGCCCATTGGTACCCTGAAAAAAAAAGCGAGTGGGAGGTGCTGATGTTWCTTTGCACTTCTGTGAAGCTGAAATGCTGGATTTGTGCCACTGCCTCTTATGACAGAGGCATGTATTTATCCGAGTGAGGGCTTACATGATTTAGGGTTGTGTGCAAAGGGTGAGGGCGATGTCAGGCAAACAAATTTCTGCAGTGGGAGGTCAGTGTGAGTCCCAACACCTGTGAGATTATTCTCCATCCCCTTTTCTAGCAGGGCAAATAAATTCCAGAGCCAGACCTTTGCCAGCAGGGTCACRTGATCTTGGGAAACACTTTCTAGACTGTTTGGAGGTTGCTTCCTCCACTTGACAACCCATAATTTTATATATGAAAGGTGAAGAGATCCACAGTCTTTAATGAGGGTGATGTTTCTTAGCAGCTTAAATGATTGCTCTGAACTGTTGCTTTGAATAATGTATTACCCATTGCTCTATTTTTAACCCTGTAAATTATTCTCAGATGAGAAGCATAATCTTTTTTTTTTCTTTTCCTTTTTTTGTTTTTCTAAGGAAAAAGGCAGAATCAGTGAAAATATGTTTCAGAAATCAGATGGGAGCATTCTTCTACCCTGTCTGAATAGTGTGCAACTTGAAAATTAGTTACAGGAGATCAAATTAATTTCTGGTGTAACTTTATGGGAAGCCAGGTGCATAARTTGGAAAAGAAAATAAGAATAACATGATGAGAAAAGAATAGTTCTGGCACAACACCTCACCGAGGGATATGAGTGGTGACTTGAGTTGAATGCTGTTTGAAAGTACCATCAAAGGTAGATTAAAGTCAGGAATATTGTGAGAGGAAATGGATAACTAGCACAGCAGGAGCGGTTACTCCAGGGGCTTTCTGCTGCTTATATGTGYGCAGCTGGGGCCTCTAGGGATGAGGGTTATTTTGGAAGAGATGAAAGGTCATGCCAAGTTGATTTAGTGCCTACAAGTGCTGTTGGTGTGTTGTTTAGTCCCTAATCTKTTAGGTGGAGAACAAGAAGTTTGCCCTGTTTGTTCAATTGAAAAATGTGGGTTCCCCACCACAGTTCCCCACCAATTAAGAGCATTTCTAAGAATAGAAATCCATCCTGATGTGCATGTTTAAAAGAARCTTATCTTCACAATGAGGTCCAGGCTTCTCTTTGATTATAATACATACTCAGAATATGCTGAAACTTTAATCAGTTCTAGATCCCTGGTGAAATATAWTTTTTTATGCATTTAATTTCCATTTTGTGGCACAAAACTGAGTTCTTGAGTGCATTACACACTACTGGGACAAGAAACACAGTACAAAGAGCACCAGATACAGTAGTTCCCTGCAGTCTTGTAAAGTTCTATACAAAAAGGTACAAATACTGGAGGTATTAAATTTGGAAAATTAAATGCAAAGTTCTTTGTTTTTAAGTTTGCGAAGTGGCTCATGCTCTATATAACATGTGAAGAAAAACCAGTCTGTTTTCAAAATGGAAAGTCTGCAGGGAAAGAGAGAAATTAGCAACTGATGAAAGYAAGTGAGTAATAAACCAGGCAATAATACAAAATCTGAACATACATAAAAAGCTTAATCACAATCTATATATAGATTTTMTGTCTCAGGAACATAATGTAACATATTGCTTCTCAAGGGCATCTCCGACTCTCRTAATAGCCTAGATTTGTACTAGAAATCCAGATTCTCTAATGGTTTATTCCTGGCAATAAAGTAAGTTCCCTCATTTGAAATATTACCACAATTCTCATTTAAACAATACAAAGCTCTCAGGTGAGAGAGTAGGCACAGCATTTTCACTGGTGCCAGGAAGGTGACTGTCACTGGCAGGAGGAGCACAGGCTGATGTGATATTCTTCAGTAAACTTCACATCCATAGTAAGGAGATTTCTGRCCACAGAAATTTTCAAGTTTCCAACTCTGGAGAAAGTGGCCAATTCATCTTCTTATCCTTCAGTTCTGACCCACTGGTTTATGGAAGTGCAGATGCCCTGCTCCCACACAACAGTGAGGGAAGAAGTCTGGCASGAGTACTGATATGCAAAAAATGCACTGCCTCTTCTCTCCTGTGAGGCTTTGGAGAGTGCATTTTTTTCCAAGTGTAATGTAAACATTTTCCTGTAGATTTTATTTAATGAGAGGTAAGTTTTCTCAGCACTTACTGCACTGAACCCTAGAATAGACATTACTTCATAAAATGGCAGGAAAGGTGTGCCTTCTTCCTCCTTACCTAGGTATTTTGAGGGAGCCAAGACAGCAATATTACTAAAATCATTATATTGTTATCCTGCTCAGTGAAAAATTCTGTTAGTCATAAGCAAATATTAAAACTGCTGTACAATAATGTTCAATGCTCAAACATAATAAATATAAGCAGAAATAATGCAGGAAAATCCTTAGCATGGTGAGGAGAACAAGACTTGCAAAAAGAACACTAAAAGGAAGCTTGAGAGGTATAAACCTGTGAAAATACGTACGTAAGGCCATATGGTTGCTGTCTATAAATACACTAAGAAGAAAATGAAATGTTTAAGCCAAAGAACAGTGTTGGCAAAAGAAAAAACAATGGTATAAAGCAGCCATTAATAAAATTATGCTAAAAGTTGTGCAAGCCTTAGAGAGCAGCACAGCTCTGGAAYGGTCTTCAGGAGGAGGGGGAAGCAAAAATGTGACTACTTTTAACATGGAGTTWGTTAAGTTTATGAAAGGAATTCCTGTGCACTGTGTAAAGTAATTGTCATGATAATAAGAACATCTTAAATTTCAGTACTTTATTTATTTAGTGTCTTGGATGCAAAGCACTTATATAAAAATGCAGTAATGAAAATTCCTTTCAACCACTACAATAAAAGTTGGAATTCCTTGGGGTATTTAATTTTCTTCAGTAGAATGCAGTTTGGACACATTCCATTCAATATTTGCAGAAATGAGAGAGCATCAGCCCTACAAATAATAATAAATCTAGAACATAAGATAAGCTATAGGTTATTGAAATGATGTGTTGCAAAGTTAAATCCAATCTTTRCAATGTTAAATTAGCAACAGCTGATGGAATTTGTGGCTCTTTGGCAAGTCTACAGATCGCACCAAATAACTGCCCTGAAAGTCCCTGGTTTTCAGTTCTGTGAATCTACTTACGAAACTGAGATAAAACCACTCCTTGGAACTGAGTTCTCTGAAAGCCCCCAACCAACTGACCTGGTGAGAGCTTGCAGTGTCCTTTGCATCAGTGAGAGAATTTGGTATCCTTGCAGTGTGTAACCTGACYGGGATGTATATGCTGCATGTGCCCACCTCTTCCTTCCCTTGTTTCTTTCTTTTTTGGTGTTTCAACAGGTGACCTCACACTGGTCTGTGTGTTGGGTGGCTGTTTGTGGCTGTGTGATAGTTCACACACAAGCAGTATGAATCAGGGACAGGAGTATTGAATTTATGCCTGYGACCCAGCATAAATTGAATTGAACCAGCCCTATCCACAAGTATAAGCCTTAGCAAAATGTTTCAAGTTTGGACATCAAATTCAGGTTATCTAGGTCTACCTTCAGGACCATGTAYATGTGCTTTGAATTTCAGGGACAGCAAGCAACAGCTTGCCAACTGACTTACAACTTGTGCAGACTATGTTGAAAATTGGTAAGGTTGGAAAAGACCCTTTCTCCTCACACTTCATGGCCTGAATCAGCTACTAACTGATGTGAGGGGAGGGTGCTCAATGGAAATGGGGTGGGAGCTAGGTTATTTCACACTGTGTACTCTGTCATAGATCACTGGGTAAACAGAAACCCGATCCTGGGTGCTCAGCTTTCTTTTTTTTAGGTGGAGCTGATACAGCATCAAAAGATCCAGACCAAGTTGCAACCTCTAATAGCCTAAATGAGGCAATTACCTATTTGTGCAATATTTGCTTTATTTTGTTGATTGAGCCACCCTTTATCATTGTATAAAAACACAGTCTTCCAAAAAAAACAATTTCAGCTTTAGTATTTTAATTTCTCTTCTAACTAACTTGAGTTTAATTTCTGCATCTCTCTAGTCTTCACAAATAAAACTCACCAGAAAAAAATTCATTGGAACATTATATGTAATGAATGGAATGGTAAAGCAGTAGGATCTGAAGAGAAGTTCTGTTCTGCCCACTGACTGCCAGTAATTTGTTTTCTAGYACAGATCCCAAGAAGTAAAAAGAGGGAAGCAGTTGACTACAAGTGTTTGATCTCTGTACAGTTGTGTAAAGGAGGAGACTGAGCACTCAGAAAACAACTTTATGCAAATTCATTGTTACTCTTGAAATCCCAGATGATCTGTTCTCTCATAGTTGTTTTTTTTAAACAAGTACATGCCAGCCCTTGAAAGGATTTCAACTGACTACCTCACAGAATTAGGTAGGAGGATCTACCCACAGATWGTGCAGTATTAAGCTCTTTTTCTTTATCTGTTCCCTTCTTAGGCCCTTATACTCTCCCTTAGCTGTAAATTGTGGGGTTTTTTTTTCTGAGGGAAAATGGTTTTTTGCTTAGAGTTTCCTTGGCAGAAATTTTAATGGAATTGTCTGTCATCAACACCTGCTTTCAAGYTTTACTGATAAAATTAGATTTTATATCTCAGCATCACATATGGCATCTTTATAATTAGTCTTTTTGCWGTATATGAATGTCAATTCCTAAAATGCTGCCTGTACTGGGAATATTTCACTTCATTAAACAAATCCAAGTGTTTCATTGGAGCTTCTTATTGTTGAAAGCCCACGTCTTCGTGTGTCTAATTTCAAAACCATTTTCATGGACTGATACAACACATCTGCAGCTGCACTGGGACCGAGCTGTGAGCAGATCCCTTCTGGAAATGGGATCCTGAGAGATCTGTATGGGCCTCCATACCTACAGCCACTTGTAGAAATGTAGTCTTTGAATATGTAGCTGTTGAAAATGAGGGYTGGCCTTCTTCAGAGGGCTCAGTATTGACCTACTGCTGGAAGCAGAGGAAGGTCTATGCTTACGAGGTTCTGAAAAATATTATTCTATGTAACATTTCAGATCAAGAACACCCAGATTTTAACACACATACTCAAGAGTAGGCAAGCCTAGATCTGTTTTCAGACAAGTGATGATCAGAATTGCTGGTCAGCAATATGGGTAAAAGTGTTCCAGTATCAGTGTCTCACAGGGGGCTGTTTTAAACTGTTGTAGAATGCATGGGAAGTACTATACTAGTACAGATACCAGTATAAGTGGTAGGATTTTTTCATTACTTGTGTCACAGATGAGAATTTTTTATTCCACTTGGGTACATTCATTTCTCTGCTCAGATGAGAAAATGCACAAAGTAACAGATCATCACTATACCACTAGCACTAATGTCATGGAAGTGGTAACATTCGCATGGAAAAGTCAGAATTTAGTACCCTTATGCAACAGGATGAAAATGTGCAAACTGTTAACTTGTAATAGAAATGTCTTTAGTTTCTCAAGTGCAAAGTGCAGTGTCAGCAACACTTATCGTCAAGGAAAAAAAAATAGACAAATAGGAAAACATTTATAAACATAGCTYGTGATAGCTCTCATGCAAACTGCTGTCAGACTTGTACTCTAATGCAGTGAATCATTCAGGCTCAGCTCACTGGGGGTACTCCGGCTCATATTGGTCAGACTGGCCATAAGGGATTTAACTTTATAAGCATAGTAGTCCCTTAAGTTGACAGATGGTACTTCTTTCATGCCATCACCAAAATCACAGCTTCTCATGGCACTCTCTAACTGCTTCTGACGCCTATAGAAGTGGGAGAATTTATTAAAGATCAGTGTAATGGGAAGCACTACCACTAGGATACCAGCTAGGATGCATGCAGATGCCGTCAACTTGCCAGCAGTGCTCCCTGGMACCACATCCCCGTAGCCAACTGTGGTCATGCTAACAGTAGCCCACCACCAACAAGCAGGGATGGTGGCTAACCCCTCATTGTCTTCTTTCTCAATGGTGTAAGCCACTACTGAGAAAATGGAGATGCCAACAGAGAGGTAAAGTAAAAGAAGCCCCACCTCTCTGTAGCTATACTTMAGGGTGGCCCCGAGAGACCTGAGACCTGTGGAGTGTCTAGCAAGCTTTAATATGCGGAAGATCCTCATGAGTCTCAGGACTTGGGCAACTCTGCCTAAATTTGCTAAAGTTGGACTACTTTCCACCACCAAGTTGACAATTAATGTAATATAAAATGGAAGGATAGACATTAGGTCAATCAAATTCAGGGCATGCTTGAAAAATTTTAGAAAGTCAGGAGCTACTGCAAATCTCGCCACCAGTTCAAAAGTGAACCATGCAATACCAAAATGTTCCACGATTTCAAAGCGAGGGTCTTCCTCGGGGTTCCCGTTGCTGTCAATGATCTGAAAGTCTGGGAGGCTGTTCAGGCACATGGTCACGATGGAGCCCAGCACCACCACTATGGAAAGGACACTGAAGATGCGGCTTAAAACTGAGTACCCGGGGTTATCCAAAGCAAGCCAGAGCTGCCTCCTGATGTTTCCAAAGGGCTGTTTGTCAAATTTAGAGGCATCATTGTAGAACGCCAAAATCTCATCGAAGGAAGATGTGGTACTTTCCTGGTCACTTTGTTCCTCCCATTTCTCTTGGTCTGGCTCCATTTTCCTCCCATGGTAGCTATAACTGCAGCAGGAGTCTATAAAGAATTCATTGATTCCCCAGTATTCAATCTCCTGGCTGAAAGAAAACACGCAGAGTTCACCCATCACATGGAGCTTGCCAGTGTTATAAAAATGTAGCACGTAAGGAAAGAGCTCGGGGTTCCTGTCAAAATAAAATTCATTCTTGGTGTCATCATAGTCATCACAGAGCTCCAGTATCGACTCCTTTGAGTGGCAGCTCAGCAATTTGCCCAGCCTGGTCTCGGGGAACCTTAATAATGTGTTGGATCTCATCTTTTTCTTAAAGCCTCCAACGTTGATGCTGATTTCATTGTCTTCAAAATTTGCTTCAGATAAAGCCCTCAGACTCTGCCCTGTCATAGTGAGCTCCTTCCAGAGGTGTGTAGGGAATAAAAACCTAGGATAAAATTACACAGAAAGTCAGCAGAATGAGCAAATCTACAGCATGTTCACATATTGATGCGTGCTCGCTTTCTTTCTCTTTCTTTCTTCCTTTCCTTTCTTTCCTTTCCTTTCTTTCTTTTCTTTCATTTCTTTTCTTCCTTTCTTTTTTCTCTCTCATTCTCTCTTCTCTCATTCTCTTCTTTCTCTCATTCTCTTCTCTCTCTCTTTCTTCCTTTCTTTCCTTCTCTCCTTTCCCTCTTCCCCTTTTCCCCTTTTTCTCCCTTTTCTCCCTGTTCACTCTCCCTCCCTTTTTTTCCCTCTGCGCTCGTTTCTCCCCCTTTTCCCCATTTGTTTTCTCCCACCTCCCACTGAAGACCTTGAGGGAGGCTCCTTTGTTCCCACTGCAGGCTGCTGTCCCTCCCCTCGCCCTTCACCTGGGCTGCGGCTGTCGCAGCCTTTGTGCCACCGGCGCCGCGCGGACCCTTCATCCCCTCCCGCCGCTCCCGGCCCCGCCACACCACAAGCCCCCGCTGGCCGCCGCCGCCCGGGCTCCCGTCCCACGCCGCGCCTCTGGGGCCGGAGCCCCCGCTCCGACCCGCGGGAGCCGCTGCTCCTCGGCCGCGGGGAACCCGCCCCGCCCGGCTCCGC